TCCCATTCCTACTTCCTAATTTTTTTTAATTTAGAAATATTTTACACTTGTCTCATAGCTTTTTTTTTGGTACTAAGTTTCGAAAATGACTTGGCCCTAGGCCTATCCTACTCGTAGCTTTTCTTAGTGCTAAATATCGAAAGTGACTGGGCTCCAGGCCCATCCTTTTCGTAACTTTTCTTAGAGCTGTCTCTCGACATTTCCTGGCCTTTGCTAATATCTTTGCTATATTTTTCATTCCATCTAGCTAGGGTGGAAACGTTTTCTTTGGTTGAATTAATGGCTAAGGCTTATTTCGCATATTCAGCATTACTGTTTCTAGCCTAATCTCTATTCTTGCAGTAATGCTCTTTTTGCTGAGACAAAATCTTTTCAAGGTTATCCACATAAGATATTATCCTTTTCTCTCGTTTTGTTTCCTTGAAAGACATGTTAAAAAGTCGTATTGTTTCAAATACAACTTTATAAGTCAATAGATCACACTTAGTTTGAAAACAGTGGTAAATTATACAACTTATCATTCTTGTTTTCAGTCCAGAGAGCTCGACCAAAGCCACACCAGACTTCGACAGTGGTAGCGTTCGTCCTCACGTAGGAGATTCACGTCTTAGGCACCAGCTGCTGTGAAAGAATTACTTTGTACAACACCGAACCCCCGAGTCAAATATATAGCACTGAAAACTTTGTTTTCAAATATTAGATCATTGTTAGAACATAGATCTAGAGAATCTACATTGTCCAAGTTTTGTATATAGCTGATACAGCTGTATGCTGATAACGTAGCGTGTGCGCATAAGCAATCATACACTCACACGCCATATGAGGGCGGGTTGTTACTTTGCAACTCACAGAGCGTGCTCGTAATAATAATAGAATATGGCTACCAGTGTATTGTTAGCTCGTTAGTAGTGCTGCAAAATGGTTATTGATATTACTTGTTATTACCAAAGTTATAAGTAAAACTAAGAAAAACGCTTTTAGCCAAAGTAGCGTAATTCAATCATGTGCCTTTATATTTGCATAAGATGAAGGCAGGTGAGAGCTATGCCATCCCAACAATGTTAATCAGTCAGTCAGATAGTAAGACTAACAAATTTTTGGTTTGGTACACTGGGGGTATCCTACTGTTCTGGCAAAGTCCGTTTGCTTCATACCATTTCTGGACAGTCGAGCAATTTGAGAGCCTATAACTTCTGGCACGTGACAATGCATGACTCTATACCAAGTATTTCAGAAAAATTGTCTGAAAAAGCGTTTATCTGTTTCGAACAAAATGATTATACCAAAAGCACACCCTTTTATACGGATGTGTATGTGTGTTTTGACGAACAAATGCTCAAAACAACGTATATAGACCAGAATAACAACTCGTACATGTTTTTCTGATAAATAAACTAAATTATCTATTACTACTCGGACATTTACTCAATAATTACTCCATATATATAGACAATAACATTAATGTAAGCAAACATTTTGGCCAAGGTTATACATATTCGCATCATGCTAGATTGGGCGATATTTTTCATGAGGATGGGTAAAGAAAAGAATTGTACTTACCTACAAACTCAAAGAGAAATTACGCACATCAAACAAGTATGACATGATCTTGGGAAAGGCGTTGCATCCCATCATGTGACTCCAGATACTAATGATGCCTTGGAGATAGATGATATAAAATGGAGGACATCTCCAAATCTTACCAACACTAATTTTAAATATAACTCCGATAACAGGCTACCTTTTTAGCTTGAGGTCATGATATTCGATATTCAAGTAAAAAACTTATGAGTGAAAATCGATTTTAACCAAATATTCATTTGCATAAAAAAGCAAGAGATATTAACTGACATTATACTATACCAATTGTTTTGCCTTATTATAACAAAAGTTTTATGAATTTTTGTTGCTCTTTAATTATTATATGTAGTGCATTTCACATTTCAGTGAAAATAAAAACAAATTTACACACGTATGCTCAGACAAAGTTCTCACATACTTGTATATTTGTTTTTAATAAATGAATCAACAGTAAAAAGCGTTTCAGAAACGAGTTTATTATTTTCCTTTTAATAACTTTTCAGTGAGTCGGTTATTTCGTTCATATATTTTTTTATGTATGGCACAGCTGTGCAGCATTCATTTTTGACTCGCTGTATATGTACTTGTATATATAGAGGTCTTGCACTGAAAGTCTAAAAGTCACGTGATCTATAGTTTACTCCGTTTAATTAAATGTCAGTGCTTTCGTTCATTTTACATGAAAAAATGAAAAATGGCTTTTAATATTGCGTTAGATGACGCTGTAAATCATCTCAGTAATGTGCATAAAAAAGGGTATATCGAAAACTTTAATAGCTTTAGACCCCTTTTCTCACACCTGGTTACTAAAGTAGTATGGGAATCTTGTACTAATAAGATTTGCTGTTGATTGCTAGAAAATAATTTTTGGCATCCAAAATGGCGACGATGAATGAACCAGAAAGTTTGTCAAGTCACGTGCAAGACCTCTATATTTCACCATAAAATATGAAAGTTATATATACTTTTATATTCTTGTTTTTAGTCAATCCCTGTTGTTCGATTTGACCGCGAGGGAAGTTCGCCACGACCTAAACATACTGTTCCACGATTAACCGTAAACGGGAAGCTTTCTCCAGGATTTCTGGAAGTTCCCTCACCTTGTGCCTCTTGCAGCACTCCCACTCGATCACACATGTCGACTGAGCTCCTCAGTTCCTACGTTGAGGAACAGACAGTTTGCGAGATATCACGTCCGAATGATAAGGACCTCGGCTCATGTACCCAAGGAAACAATCATCAAGTTCAAGATGAAGTAACCACCTCAATCAAAGTAATTGTAACTGAACAGGTCGAGCCATCTATAGACAATAATATTCAAAACAATTAACCGGAAAATGTTATCGAAATGAACTTCCGCACAATGCTTCAAGAAATAAAACTTTTCTAGTAGGTAATCTTACATCAGATATATTTTAACAGCCTCAAAACAGTAAGTGAAAAGTAAAAACATTTAATAAAATTATTAAAATAATGAAGAAATATGTAACTAAATCTAAGATATAAACAGCATCATATATGTATCATTGCCAAAGAACGATTTTGAGTGCAAACATTAAAAAAACCTCGATTCCTAGAAACCTATTGGTGATCGTAATTTATTGTTCGAAGTATATCAGTCGTAAATAGGTGTTAAATAACACAAACACATATTGAAATTAATTCGAGAGGATAAAACAATGAAAGTTTTATTGTTCACAAGATAGTGTTTTAACGCATATCACCTGATTTTATTTGAAAGATTATGCTAGTTAACATTATTTGCAATGTTGTATTGTGAAATTACTTGGTAGCTGTACATCATTTAACACGATTCGTTTGATTTAATTTTTTATTATTGTTAAGGAAATATTTTTGTGTTATAATTGTAATCTAAGAAAAACAGATTTAATTTATCATCTTGTGATGCAGTTCTAATATTATGTTATTTCAATATATATGCTCATTACGATTCAATATAAATTTATTATTGTTACGTTTTTCTTGAATAAATTTCTTCGTCACTTGTGTGCAATATGTACAAAGGCGTTCCTAGGTTAAGTATATTTTTGGCTTAGTGTAGTCCTCAAGGTTACTTTCCTAGGGTAAATTTTGTTTTATTTTGACTTATGTAATCCTCAGAGTAGCATTCCTTGGGTAAGTATGTTCTGTTTTTAACTTGGATAATCCTCAATATTGCATTCTTATGGTAAGTATGTTTATTGTTGGTTATGTAATCTTCACTGTTGCATTTTCGGAGCAAATATATTTTATTTTTGTCTTAGTATAAGCCACAATACTGGTATTTCGCGAAATCAAGTTAAAATAGAAAACAGTATAAAATCTTCCACTTATTAAACCACTTTAATATATTAGAATAAAATATATTTAATTATAAAATATCACTAGATTAATAAGTATAAAATTTTAATGATGACACAAGTACATAAAAACTGATAAAGTATTAAAACATTTTAAAAACACATTTCCATAATACACCTCTACAAAATTTTGTTTTCTAGCTCTTTAGATATTGCATTATTCCTGAAATTATGCTTTAACTGAATCCTAAATTTCAGTAAAATATTTCTGACACCCACAACTTACAGTATTATATATCACAAAATATGATAAATATCTCGAACTTTGATTGCTAATATTATTGTTATTTAACTTCTATAGGTAAATGGTTTAGTTCCTCGACGTTTTAGCTAAATAAGTAGATTATATAGTCACCTATACATTTCTACAAGTATTTCTCTAATAAGCAGTTGCCGCCCAATTCACAATGAACTCAAGGTTTAGTTCCTTTTTTTTCAGTGGACTTACAACGCTAGAAACCGGGTTTCGATACTAGTGGTGGGCAGAGCACAGATAGCACATTGTGAAGCTTTTATTAATTTGTTTTATCGCATCACTTATCATTTTCTAAATGTTCGATAACTTTAAGCTTTATTTACTAACAGAACTTATTTCCCGTACGTTAAAAAGCACGTGACCATACCCAACCACAATAAATATATAGCAATCCAACTTGTTCCTTAGGGATTGAGAGAAAGCTAAATCAATTACATAGAAGAACTGAAATTATTTCAATAAATCGTCAGCACCAATTAATATGTGTATTGTAGGGTGATGTTTTAGTTAGACAAGTATGAATGAGCTTGTTACCTGAGAAAATAAAATGAGTTGTTGTTGTTTTGCGCTAAACAGCTTCGAAAGATTACAAATAAATCTAAAAGCTTGCACGGATTTCATCGACTTATGAAATTCAGGTAAACAACACTCATTTCTTTTAAACACCAAGAAAGAGTAAAAGGTTACACTCGTATACCTTATCATTTGAGAATAAAGATACATCTTTCTTCTGTGATGGAATGAAAACTCACTTTTTTCCATGGACAAATCCATCATTGCGTATTTTTGTTCTTTATTAGTTGTTTTCCTGATTCTGTACACTTACAACCTGGTGTTTTTTTGTTTTTTTTTAATATTTCAATATTGTGTACAAGATTTAAAGAAATAGAAGCTGTATTTACAAAATAGTGTTCAAAGTCATTACAGTTAAGAAATACACCAATAGGTGGCGCTTCTAGAATTTTTATTTGTACTAATAATATTGAAAAATTTATATTTGGTCTAGATAGGGTGCAAGAAAAGATCTGAAATTAAATTCAAATCAATTTATATTTTACACACATCTTAAGTAGTTGTTTTCTAAATAAAGTGTTTGTTTGTTGCATTTTCAAATTAAGTTATTGTAAATATTTTTAGTTTAATATGTTAAAAGTATTAGTGGTGTTTAACTAATAAAGTTTTTGTTACTTTGAATTGTTTAATGACGAAAGCCTAAAATTGAGGTTCTGTATTATGCTAAGAACTTGGTAGAAAAAGTGCAATACAGCAAATATTAGTTCTTAAAAAATCAGCAGTCCCTGTATGGATTGCATTTAGAGAATAGTTTACACTATAAACACATATATGTGTGTGCGTATATACGTTAAATATGGATTGTATATTAAAATATAATAAATCGAAAATAAAGATTAATGTTTTGATTTTACACAAACGGCTTTTTAGCAAACTTAATCATTTGAAAGGTAAAGATGTCCGTATTATCAGTCAGTAATAGCACATATATTACTCATTTTGAGCTGCATCATTTCAGTGGAGTCGTTGTATTGTGTGAAATATATAAAAGTGTACAATGATAAATATTTTTGTCCACTGTCGTGGACCATGGAACGTCTCTTAATTATATGGCTTAGTTTTACTGTTGTCATTGTTGTTTTTTTTGTCATCAATAAAAGTTCCAATGCCTTAACAATGAATTATAAGATGATACTGATTATTTCAATTGCACTATGCAAGTTTGCGAGCCTAGTTGAATATTGAAAAATACGGTGTAATGTTAACCGAACCTTCACTTTCGTTATCCTTAACTAACTTGGTTTTACATTTCCGGTTATTTTAAATATTATCCAGTACACAGAATATTTTTTGCTATATCAAAAATCAAATCTAAGTTTTGTTATGTTATATTCTATGACAAAGTATTAGATTTCTCAAAAATATTATAACAAGCTGAAAATTAAATATACTTCTCGATGTTTAGGAAAAATCGCCAAAGCAATGATCGCCATCTCTCGAGTATATATTAAAACTCTTGGCGGAAAGCAGTTTATGTATATATATATTTTTTTCTAATTGATAGAGTTATATAATAATAATTATAAGTTTTCTGTTAATTTCATATAATGGTTTGTTTTGTGTTGAAAATAGAGCAATATAAACACCTCCTATAACTTTTATTTCTAGTTAACATTCTTTCAAACTACAATCTTTACTCACGTTAAAGATATCAATAAAATTATTCTGCCTTTATTATGATGTTATGACCGAAAATCTGGTTACGCAGTTACTTCACAAATTATTCTTATTATTATATATTTTTTACACATATACATATGTGTATGTGTGAATGTATACTTATAAAATTGCGCAATTGTTTGTTATTTTTTAAAAAATACAATACAGAGGACACAATAACAACATATCTTTACATTAGACAAATACTAGATATATATAAAAATATACAAATAACAATCTGAAAAAAAGTTATTGTTAAATTTTCGCGCAAAACTTTACGAGAGATTTCTGCGCTAGCCATCCCTAATTTGAAAGTGATAGACTAGGGCTGCTCTTTGCCAAAGGGCAGTGAGATTGACTATCATATTATAACACCCTGAAAGAACAAGCTTTTTCGGTGTCATAAGATATGTAAAACTTTCGTTAGTAAGAGAGGTTTCTCTAATATTTAGGTCCACACAGACTTTATTTACGTAAGCCTCTATGCTTCTACGTGTTATTAATGCACACATTTAAAAACACCCCACTTAGAGTTCAAATTTTGTATAATACGATGCTACTCGGTTGTGTTACAGTCACATATTTAAACCGTTTTATTTTATTATTACTTGTTGTATATCATTTCGTTACCACCGTGCTATACTAGCATTCCCTTCATATCCATCTTCTTTATTTTAGGTTGTACCTATTTCTATCAGAAATTAATTCATACTAATGTAAACATCACAAGTTGCTCTTTATTATTGTAATCAAGAACATATATATTTATTATAAGAGTTTGTCTCTCACTAAGAGCTTAATACTTTCCTCCTTCGCAACTCTCGGTTAATTCATTCTCTCTCACATCTTCCGGTATTTTTTCTTTCATTGAACTCTTGTCTTTTATATTCCATCCTCAAACAACACGCCGAACACACCTGACTCTCTTATATTGAATTACAACGCCTCATAATTATAATCTCCAGAGAAGTTGAACAAGAAAATCGACCACTCCCTCCAATAATTTCCTAACGAATGATAATACTGTAATCCCCTAATCTGTCAGGGACTGATCAAAAGCCGACCGATTTCTCATCTCTCTCAACCACAACCGATGTTCTTTACACCTAACTTCATGACATTACTGTTAAGAATATTTGAGGTTATCTTCAACTTGATTGTGATGAACTACCTTAATAACCTTTAAATTGGCAAATATGTTAATCATCTTATTTAACAAGATTTTTGGGCCCGACATGGCCAGGTGATTAGGGCGCAATCTGCGGGTCACGGGTTCGAATCCCGTCACACCAAACATGCTCGCACTTTCAGCCGTGGGTGCGTTATAATGTGACGGTCAATCCTACTATTCGTTTGTAAAAGAATAGCCCAAGAGTTGGCGGTGGGTGGTGATGACTAGCTGCCTTCCCTCTAGTCTTACACTGCTAAATTAGGGACGGCTAGCGCAGATCGCCCTCGTGTAGCTTTGCGCGAAATTAAAAA